CCCCCTTTTTTCCAGATGTACCTTTTGGAAAAAGGCTTTTTAAAAACCAGATCTTGTTTTTTCTCAGTAAAATACATTTTGTCTTCAATTATTTTTCCTATTTTAATTTTTGTTTTGAAAGTATGATAAAATCTGGTAAAATGTACCAACAATGACATTTAAAAAATATACACTTTTTGATATACCATTAAAAAAAAAACAGGTAGCCCATCTGAATTAGGACATTTAGGCTATCCATCTAATAGTAGCCTACCAAAATCTTATTAACAGTAGAAGTTAAATCTTACTGTAGTCTTCAAATCTGGGTACTGTCTTACGTTTTAAAATCACAAAGGGAGTTTGGTCCCATCAGGCTAACGTGACAGTCACGACTCATGCAGCTGTAAGGTTTTCTTTTTCTTTTGTTTTAACTTGCGATCTTTACAACATGCATTACATTACGTATTTCATGGCACACTCGTTTTATGCGTATTTGGCGCCACCTATTGTTGTGGGTGTATTATTGACATGTCAAAGTCTAGACCCTGAATATAAGACGACTGCGTTTTTTTCAGATGTATTTCCAACTAGCATGTTTCTTTAAGTGTTTCGGGTCAATACGGTACATCTTTACCCTGTTCTGATGTCCTTCCAGCTTCTTGATGGGACACTTGTGCAGATCTCCGGCCATGTCGCTGTATGTCTGGGGTCTGGCCGTATTGTCTTTCTCAGAGACCGCCAAGGCCTGGACCAGCTGTTGTGCTGCCCACTGTCGGTGTCTGCTGGTCAGCCTGGCCGACAGGGCACAGGCAGCGAGAGCATTAGCCAGCTCCAGCGGCCCGACCCGCACTCCAGCTTGAGAGAGAGGAGGACCTGAGGGTGGAGGGCTTCCACCTTCTGTCCAATCACATGCGGAGTTAATTAGGATAAGTTAATTCCAAATCATTAACTGCCATTTCAAAATGATATATGGGTACCTAAGAGAGTTACTAGAATTAAAATCAGCAGGGTTCCCAAAACTTTTGACCACCGTCCATGACATTTTCATACTGTAAGTTTTCCAGCCAATCAAGATTACTGGTTATTTATTTATTTATTTAGACACTGCATTCTCAAGGAACAACTTCTAACCAATGACATATTTTAGAGACAAGCATAACTAGAAAATATTTTAATTCATTACATTTCCTTATTATGATTTCCAGACCTGGTAATCATAGTGTAAAATTCTTTGAATCTTCAATAAACAGTTTAAACAAAAAATAAAAATTTCCTGATACTTTTAGGATTTCCATGACAGTGAGATTTATTAAAAGTTAATAAAAACTAATAATGAATTAAATAACAACAAAAAAAAACTCCTGATACTTACAGGTTTTCCATAACAGTGACAAAATATCAATATTTATTTCTTTTTATAATCTTTTTATATTTTACTATAATTATTGTCATGTGACCATCATCTGACAAAGAACGACAAATTTGCAAATGTGTTTTAAAATGATTGAAATATTAACAAAAAATGTAATAATAAAAATGTAAAATTACAATAAACAAATAAATAAAAATATCCTGATACTTGCAGGATTTCCATGACAGTGGGATTTATAAAAAGCTGATAATGAAAAGAAAAACTATAGTAAATGTAATAACAAAATGTAAACACTTACATAATTTTAATAATTATTCAAATAAATTATTAGTATTAATATTTTATATTTTACTAAATATAAATAAAAATATAAATTAAATATAAATAAAAATATCCTGATACTTGCAGGATTTCCATGACAGTGGGATTGATAAAAAACTGATAAAGAAAAGAAAAACTATAGTAAATGTAATAATAAAATGTAAACACAAATAATGTTAATAATTATTCATATAAATTATTAGTATTAATATTTTTTATTAATATTAGTATTAATATGTTATATTTTACTATAAATATTTCATTTAAATATTATATTTTAAATATTAATAAATAAGTATTATATTTATAAATATAACAAGTATTAAATTTTATGTCATGTGACCATTAACTATTATACAAATAAAAATAAAACAATTATGCAAACGTGTTGTACAATTTTTGAAATTTCAGGAGGTACTTCACTTAAATATTTCAGGTTCAAGGTTTGGAAATCGCTGGTCTAAACTAAACTAAAACATTTATGAAACATTTAAAATATATGTACTGTTTTGAGAAATTCTTCACCCTTTGATTCAGTGGAATCGCTTCTTTCCACATTATAACGGTATCGAACGCCTTTCTCTGTCAGGAGGGACACCAGACTCTGTGTGACCAGGAAAGTGGGCGGGGTCAGTTGTCTCGGCTCCTGTGGCGCCCCCTTGAGGGCAGAGCTTTGCCTCATCCTCTGCTGCGGACCGGTGATAGCGCTGATGTTCATCCCTGTAGCTGCTGCCATGAGATCCTGAGAGGAAGGACATGCAGGTGAGACAGCATGATTAGGCAGAAGGCAGGATGATTAAATGAGCTGAAAGCAGAGAATGATGAAGAGCATAGCAAGGATAATGAGGTGAGAAACATTAGCGGAGGAGACAAGAAAGAGGGTTGGGAGGGAGGAGAGAGAGAGAGAGAGACACACACACAGAGCAACAGAGAGAGAGAGAGACACACACAGAGCAACAGAGAGAGAGAGAGACACACACAGAGAGAGAGAGAGAGCGAGAGAGTACCTGAGTGCAGATGTCCACTAACTCTCTGTAGGCAGCAGGACTTTGGGACACTAAACTGCCGATAGCAGAGCTGAGGAAGGACAGGAAGGCGGAGCCTGTGCGATCGCTCATAGAGCCACGCCCCATTCCCTGCTGGTCCATGCCTGTGTGGACACGCCCCCCCGCTGCCAGACACATCAGCCGCACCAGGATACGGATGTCAGCCAGACCCAGAGCCTCCAGACCACTGGACTGATTACACACTGAACTACTGAAACATATGGTGACAGACACACAATGTGTATATTTATATTTGTACATCCGATATGGATTTCAAAAAAAAAAAAAAAGAAGGGCTTGCAGTCGATTGTAAAAAAAAGGGGCGAGGTTTAAACTGGCTAAATGACTGGAGAAGTGCACCATATACACCACAAGAAAGAAGTCTGTTGTTTCAATAGAAATTAATTTGATTAAAGATTACGAGGACAAAAAAATTAAACATATGCATAAATCAGGGGTGCCCAAACTCAGTCCTGGAGGGCCGGTGTCCTGAAGAGTTTAGCTCCAACCCCAGTAACCTCTGCAGGACCCCGCCCCTCCAGGACCGAGTTTGGGCACCCCTGGCATAAATTAATCGTTAACAATAAGATGCAATGACAGTTAATTTCCATTTCATGTTGACTTGAACTCCTCATTAATACAGTATTCAGTATTCATATTTATAATTGACAAAAACACAAAACAGACTTTTTCCCACAAAATTATTTACATCAAGTTTCAAGTTTGTTTAATATTCTGCTTTTTTAAAGTTTCTGAAAAATAAAATAATCATTTGAACACAAAATCAGTCAGATCATAACAGTAATACATTTTACGGTTTCAAATACAAAATAACGGACTTTTTCCCAACAAAATTTTTTAAATCAAATTTAAATATTCTATGTATTTTTTATTTTCTATTTCGTTCTTTCTTTTTTTTTTTTGTTTTTGAACATTAAAATAATAATTTTAATACAAAATCAGTCAGGAAATCAACAGAAATTTTGGATTTGTGTGAAAAAAAGTATTATTGTGGGGTAAAATCTGAAAAATTCTGTGGAATTCATTTAGATATATTAACCATATACCATCTAGTAACCATGTTAAACTATGCTGAGAACTACACTCTTACTGGAAGCAGAAAAAAAAAATAAATAAATAAATAAAACGAATGCAAAATTTTGATCTGTGAGTTTTTTTGTTAGTTTGTTTTTTGAGGAAAAGTCTTAGTGAAAAAAACAACTGTAAAATGACAGTTATCACAGTATCAGATTCATTGTGAAGGAGATTACATAAAAGAATTTGACATTTTCAATATTCCCTGAATAGCTAGTGTGTGTTTTTCTTATAGCTTATATAAACCTTTATAGCTATATAAACCTATATATATATATATATATATATATATATA